GGTGCAGGAGGGGCAGGGGCTCCCCACCACTGTGTGTACCCCGGATTTGTGTGTAGAGCATAGGTGGGCTGCCCGCTGTGGGATGGGGTTCTGCGTCCTGATGCTTTTGCCCTGGGAGTGTGCAAAGGCTGCGGTTGCTCATGTGTCTGTCTGCTGCCCTGCAGTCCTCTGCGTTGCTACCACTGCCCCACTGGGCTGCCCAGAGATAGTGGAGTGGGGCCCAGGTATGAGCTCCAAAACCATGTGCGTGATTAACGTATTAAAAAAATTAACTTGACCCAATTAACATGTTAATCATGTGGGTTAACTGCAATTCATTGATAGGGCTAATAAGTAATAAACAATAAGATTAGAAGGGTGGGGGTACAGCTGAACCATTGCACCTCCTCTGTCTCTGCCCTTGGTACTGTGTTGAAATAAAATGGTTGCTCTGTTGGTGAAAAATGGCTATGTTTTGGCAAGTATTTGGAAGAATTTTCAAATCCAATGTGTTTATCGTCCCAGACATTGAGTGACTTGAGATTCTAGATCCTGGAGATGTAATTTTGTCTATAGAATGCTGTTTATAGGAGGAAATAGAAAGAGTTTTATACATCTCTTAAGAAAATGCCTTTGGACACAGAAATATTGGGTGAAAATCAGTGGATGCTGCATGTGAGTGTGAATCTCTGAGGCCAGTAGTTTCTGGGATGGTAGAAGTGCTGTGGATACTTGTAAAAGCAACTATGTTTGTAGCTACAGGTGAATGTGTATTCATCCATCTATTATCACTAATCTCCTATTTTATTTATACTTCTTTATTTGAAGCTACTATACAACCTGCAAGAAATGATAAGAGTTGATCTTACATTAGGCAATCCTCTTCTGGGTTTGTAATGAATAACTATAAGACCTTTAGGAATAACGTGTGGTTTGGAGAAAATTTTTCTTAATTTTTTTTCTTTAAATGTCAGAATGGGGTCATTTTTGATACAGAGCTACAGAAATGTCAACTTGTTACTGTATGGATTGCTTGCATTTGCTTTCTGACTTTGATGGATAACCCACTGGTGTTCTATCCATGGACTTTTCTCTTTTGAATCTGTTGATTCTGCACCAAGATTTAAAGCAGGTGACACTCCTGTAAGTTAGGCTGCTAATTTTTTACTGGAAGAACTATAATTCTCAAAATATTTGTAGGAGAAGGGTCCTGGCAGTGTTTTTCGATCTGGGATCCAGGGGTCTGGGATCTGGTGTCTCCTGAGTCTGGGGGAGGGTCACAATTTGTGGGCAGTCCCAGGGGCAGGCCAAAACCCCCATATCCACTCCTATACTTCTGTGCTGCAGCTTAGTGCCCCTGCTTCCCCCGAACATGCTGCCAGCCTGTGTGGTAAAAAAAAAACTGCCCCGTCCTTAGCAGTCAGGGGCCAATCTCAAGGAGGGCACGTGCCCCGCCACACCCTCCCCCCACCAGTCGCCTGTGCTAGGATCAGACAGTTTGCTGATTTGCCTGAAGGACAGAAGGCACAAGAACAAGAGAGATGGAAGGATGCATATATTGTCTTACTTCCTGGTTGGGAGAATCTAGGTAATGGAGCGATTTTCACCTCTTCACAAGTGGTCTAAGTATGGCCTGTGGCCAATAGTGACACAAACTTTTTACCAACTGGCTCTTCTGCACCATGAGAAATGGCTTGTTTAAAGTCAATCAGCTGTCTATTTGTGGATGTTAGTGTTGCAAAAACCAACTAAAGTGACTGGCACTTGTCATTTTTGACAGACATCGAGAGTATGGTCGGGGTTTATGAATAGTGACAAGACACTAGTAGAGAACTGCCCATGTTGTACATGACCTGGTAAATGTGAGTCCTTCTTCTGTAGAGCTATATATTTAGCACCCTTCAGGAGCCCTAAATTCTCTTCAGGCCAAATTCTGCCCTTATCTGTATCCTTGGCATTTATCTGTGTGCAGGATTTGGCACTTCAAATGTAAAAACAGATTTTTTTTTTTTGATAGTTATTGGTAATTACAAAGCAAATTCCTGTTTACCTCTTCACCTCTATCCTCTTCCCAGCTATTTCATAATTTTTACCCTGTTTTTTTCTTTTCTTTATCTTGCAATCCCCGTGTCCCATTTCTTCATCCTATGTGTGAAAATACATTAACAGTTTGTATGTTTAGTTAACAGCTAAACATCTTAACAATTTATTCCTGTTCCTTTTACCTAAGATAAGTCTTGATTCAGCAAAGAATTTAAGCACATGCTTAAAATTAAACACACTTGTTCATGTTTCCCTGACTTCGCATATCTGCGTGGCCCTGAGAAGTGTTGGGCATTGATAGTTCCCACTGGCTTGTGTCAGGAACTCTATGGACTCAGTACCTTTTGTGGTCAATGAGATTGCTTATGTGAGCAGAAGCTGCATATATGAACATCTGGAAGGTGTCAAGAAACAACTAGCTTCACCTGTCACTGCTACTGTTTTTACAGTTCTTGGCTTAATAGTTAAAAATTAACCTGCCTACCTCAAATCAGAAAATTCTCCAAGTGCCCTTCTGAACATCAGCTGGCACTCATTGAACTTTCCTAATTAAATTCCATTTCAAAGTCACGTTGGCTCAAACAGTCTCTCTTCTCTTCTTATATTACCTTCATCTGTTTGGTAGCAGACCTGTCAGGGTTGTCTTCTTATTTGACTGAGAACTTAGCATGCCTTTCATCCTTGAAATGAAATGGAGCTCATTCCAGCATTCGGGCCTAACAAAGTGCCATGACAGATTAAGAAACACTACATATTTACAGAGATTGGAAGCTACTGTAAGCACCCAGTCCTTCATTAGTCTCTTGTCAGAGTTGTCAAGAAAAGAAGAGCATCTCGTAGTAAGCAAACAGCTTAATCTTCTCAATTTGTGTTAAAAAAAAAAGATAAAAGGATGGGCTTCTTGTCATGAGTTGGGAGTTATGAACCTGGGTGGTAGACACAATCATTACATAAGTTGTTCCTCTTTATATATTCCTATCTGTCTGGCTGAAGCTGCCTTTTGTCTCTGTTTGTGATTCTGTTGGTGTTAAGCATGACACGTGCATCAGCACTGCCTCCAGAGATGGTACTCTCCTGGAATAATTTTAAGGTACAAGAGATGGCCTCAAGTGGAAAAAAAACAATAAAAATTTTAAATGAAGATCCTGGAAAGTCCTTTAAGGCAATGAGGGCCACCTTCTTTGGCAGGTGTGCCACAAATGAGCCCTAAACTCTTGAATGCCTCTCCAATCTCCTTTCTCTGCATGCTCAGATGTTCTGTTTTCTGTTCTGTGCCTGAGGTCTGCCTTATGATACTTGCCCTACTTGTCGCTCCCCAGTCTGCCTGTCCTCTCCCCCATCTGTTGTGTGCCACATATAGAGGCTGCTGTGACACTTGGTTGGTCAGTACAGATTGGCCACTGCTCTAAGGCATTGGAAGCATTGAGTTGGTGAAACACCAAGTTAGAAGTTTTTCACCATCAGAATCAATTCTATTTGATTAATCAGACACCGATTTTTCAGAACTCCTGTGTGCTGCAGATTCCCAGAGTAACTTATCCCTTTATGTTGCATCTTAGAGAAGGAATAGACTAGATTTATTAAACTTTTGAGTCTATATGACTAAAATCGATTCTATATTTAAACATGATGATGTGTATCTATAACTTAAATAGCTGTCTTTTGCTTTCTTTGCATTGCATCTGTAAATTAAAAAAATCCCTATATATGCAGAGTTCAGTAACTATTTTGTGCACTTTGTACAGAGAAGAGATGCATATGCTCTCTGCTCCCTCTATAAGACTTTATTCTTGCTCTTGTTTTGTTTAATTTTTAAAACTGCTCAATGAGGTTAAATAAAAGTCAATATTAGTGAATAAAAATATGCTTATTAGCATTACAGTCCAGCGCACAGCCATTTCAAGCAGAGTCCCATTCCTAACCTGATTTTATCATCATGAGTAAGAACTGTTTAACTAGTGTTGTTAATCTTTAATCTGTGGATGCTATCAAGTACTAATATAGGTGTTTGGGTTTAGAACATTTTATCTGAAATCTCAAGAATGTAATAAACAGGAACCATATGCTGTATGATTGGCTTTGTTTCCAGAAAGGAAAGGAAAGTAGCTTTCAGGAAACAAAGCCCATTGAAAGGCAATTGGATTTTCGATGGGCTTTGTTTCCTGAAAGCCACTTTGCTCTCTTGTTGCTACGAAAGTGGCTACTTGCCTGGCTTGCACTAAAAGTCTAAAAATATTTCTCTCCATCTTTGTCTTTTACAGAAGCACCACCTAAACCAGAAGAAAACCCTGCAGAAGCTTTCACGGACTCATCCCTCTTTGCTCATTGGGGCCAGGACCTTAGTCCTGAGAACAGACGTATTGCCCTTAAACAGTTCCAGTATTATGGCTACAATGCTTACCTAAGTGATCGCCTGCCACTGGATAGGTCACTGCCTGACCTCAGGCCTAATGGGTAAGTGCTTTCAATTGAACTTAGTATGAGCTGCCCAAGAAATGCCAAGGATTAGTTCATGAGTTCTGATGTTCACCAACTGAAGGAGCGATGAAATATAAAGTCATTACAGTGCTAGCAGATGGGTTACCTAGGTTGGATGAAAAGAGCCGTTCATGGAATTAGCATACAATTTTCAGAGGTTCAGAAGGATTAGGTGTCCAATGACCACTGAAAGTGAGGGCCTAACTTCCTTAATTTCCCTTGAAAATCAAGTCCTAATGATGATCTTTACATAACCAATATGTGAGGTATGTAGACCTACCTATTAAAGAAGGTGCTGCTTATTTTCTGTTAAACATCTATTTATTCCCAAGACCTAGTAAGTACAGGGAATTGCTATTTTGGAAGCTTGTGGAACCCAGACCATGGAATCTGAGACCTCAGTAATGAGAAAGTCCCTCTGGAGTGGTGCAGTGCGCACCTTGGAAAAGTCACCAAGCAGGCTGTTCAGGTGGGGTGCTGATTTAGTACATCTCTTGGATGACCCCGGGCAGCTGAATGTTGATAGAACCTCAACTCAGGTTTAAATTGGCTGTTCTCTGATACAGGTGCTTCAAGCCTACTTGATCACTGCTATTCCAGTGTAGATACACACATTGTGTCCTGATTGCAGACTGTGTGGGGCCCATTGAATGCACAGACTTCCCTTTACTGCTCTGCTAATGCGCTTCAGTCTATTATGGAGTGCCCACATCTGTTCTCCCTGGTTTAAGTCTCTAGATCCCTGCAGTACTAGGTGTATCTTCTCATGTTGCAAAGCTACAAATTTTGGTAGTGGGACACTTGTCCATTTGGGACTAGATAGAGATTAAGATGTTTCTGATAACCCACTAAAAAGGGCATCATAATTGTTGTTGATACAAACCAGGATTCAATTCAAACGAGTAACCTAGAAGTGAAAGGTTGTATAGATCATTATGTATTCCCTAATCAATTGAGCTAGTTCCTTTTTTAGGTCTTCTAACCATGTGTTTTAATATGGAAAACAAGCAAGTCAGAAATTTTACCATATGTTAAATAAAAAAATATATAAAACATATGACCCAGAATTAATAAAACAGTTTGATTACAGCACGAGTATTGAGACTAGATATTACAAAACTAACATAGCTACAGTAAAGGCAACGTTAAGGATATCAAGGCCTTTGCAATTATATTTGCATTTTCAGTTTTAATCCATTTATCAGCATTCTTATGAACAATGTCTCTTTTTTCTAATTGTTAATTAATTTAGAAAAAAAATCATTCTTCTACGATTAACAGGACATTATTGCCAGAATGGGAGCAAGTCTGTTCTTATATGAAATGATGCTCTTCAAGGATTTTAATTTAAGTTCTCTAGGAATAAAATATTAAAAAGACAGAGAAAAAATGAACATGACTGTAGCTGAGAAAAAATTATCGTAGTTGGGACTTTTAAAGAAAACTAAGCTAGAAGGAATTATGATAATGATTTCCATGAAAGTTTTGGTCCTTAATTAACTCTAAAGAGTGAAAAAAATGTTAGGAATTAAGTTGTGTTTATGATTTCATACATACAAAATAAGGTATGACACAGAGCTTTGTTACACATTAAGTTTAGGCAGCTGAGGGAGTTCTTAACCCCTGGATTGTTCACTCATTAAGATGTGTAAAATAGTTTTAAGTACCCTTTAGGTATATTTAAGTTATGCCACTCCAGGGCAAGTTTACCTCTGATCCATGGTACCCAGCTTGTGTTCCATGAATATGTGGCCACTTCCCAGATATAAGACGCCCAAGCTTCAGTCCTCCTGCATCCCAGGATGCAGTGTCCCTTCCTCCTACCCTCTTGTTCTTTGTGGACAAACTTTCTACCCCTGAACATGGTAGCGGGGCAAAGGCAGGGGCACACAGGCAAAAGGAGGGGCAACTGGTGGGAGGGATAGGTGGAAGGGGACAAGGTGTAGGGGTCAGGCCACTTGACTCTGCCACTGTCTGCTTCCGCTGCCACTGCTTTCCTTATTGCGGTGGTGGTGGTGGTAGTGGTGGTGGTGGTGGTGGGGGGTGTGTGTGTGTGTGTGTGTGTGTGTGTGTGTTAGGGGGAGGAGGGTGATTTTTAAGACAATCCTCTGTACATGGAAAATTATAACAAAATTTCCATGTGTAGAATCTAATGGGGGGGAGGGGGGGATCATCTTCAATTCTGAGGTTTCTTGGATTTGGTTAAATACAATACTAGGCTGTGATATTCAACTTGTGGCTAAGGGCAGCCAGAGGGTGGTGGTGACCCCATTACCTCCGCCTTGTGCTAAAGTTAAACAAACAGTGGAGCCTGCCTCCATTGCCCCAGTGGCATGTACATGGGCCTTTATAATAATTATCCTTTTCTAACCACTGAGAATGAAAAGTACCAGAAGGTATAAAGAGATTTCTTTGTTCGTTTGTTCTTTTTTTTTTTTTTTTCTTTTTTATTAGCCTCCATGCCAGGACATCTGATGGTATCTGGCATACAACAGACAAAATGTCATAAACCCTTGAAAATGCCTCTGGCAAAGACAGCTAAACCAAAGGCTTAGAGTAAAAATACACTGTTTGTAGGTGTAGTTATCACACTGATGTGAAGAGAAAATATACATATGCATGCGGTCCAGGCTTGTAGCTGTCAGTTTGTCAGCTGCCCTTTAGCTTTATTGGTAACTTTAATAACTACACCCAGATAGAAAGCTGTAAGTTTTCTTTTTCAGATTAAGCTGTCCCTATGTTCTTGCAAGACTTTTCTGTAACAAGCCTGTACTTAATCAAAGAGATACTTCAACCCTTTTTATATCAAGTTAGTACAATTCCATTGTAATTACTCTGTTCCTTCATATATAGTTCAAATAGTTGGTATCAGAATCACTTGACACAGCAGCTAAATATCCGTGGGCAGAGTCCTAGAATCCGCAGTCCTGTACTACAGACAAGCTAATCTCATATAATAATAAAGGCATATGTGTGATTTAGCTGGTACATGGCCCTGGCCTTCTGTTTAGGGGTAAATTTTACCTCCTGTTTCATAGTTTCATAGTTTCTAGGGTCAGAAGGGACCTGGGCAGATCATCTAGTCCGACCCCCTGCCATGGCAGGAAAGAGTACTGGGGTCAAAC